AATCAATCCAAATATTTTAACAAGCTCCCTGAGAAATTATAAAAAAAAAATAAAATAATCTTCAAGTCTATTTCCTATTCGACGTACCATAAATCGCAGTTCCATTTACCGCCAAATCGGCGGTTCCGAGCAGCCCTTAACGAATCGTCGTAAACATTTCAATGTCAGAATAAACGTGGCACGTCGATCGGGCGATACCGTCTAACGATCTTCGCAATTCCTCGCAGTCAATGGGACGCGTTTAAAAGATAAGGAGTCGCGAAAGGACAGGGAACAATCGACGGTGTCGAAAGGCCAAATTGCCATCGCCATTGTTCCTCTGCGCCGTCTCGTTTCAACTACGCCTCCTCTGTACACACCACGTGTGTATGTATGTACACATATACACACCGATAGTGTGCACGTATCGAACGCAACCGACCTACCGAGGGTGACTAACCAAATTAGCATTAATGTTGCGAAATAAATTCCACGTTGAGCACCGCAGAAGGACGCCAGGAGGTAGATACCTTTTACTCGAGGGATCTGTCCCGCGTGATCGATCCTCGCGGGCGTGCGTATTCCTCTATCTACTTGCTAGAAACACTTTGCGTGAATCACCCGGTGATCATGGTATTTGACTATTTGTCGCGGTCGAAAGAGAATGTCGACGATTACGCGTTGTTTTGCATGAGAAACGGTACGTGGATACTGCGGATCAGGCGTCCTCTTCGCAATGCTTTAACCCTGCTACGGTCCTCGGTTCAACTATGCGTTTGAAATAATGGCGAGGAATGAGTAACAATTTTTTTTACATATTTCACGAAGCTAAGACCATTTCTGAAGAGACGAAATTATGGAAAAGTGTGTAACGTTGTAACGGTGTTAACCCCCTGGGACCCGGGCAGCGTATTCCGTACGCCACCGGTATACAGAAGTCTTTTATTTCTCTAAACTTTTTACTGAACAGATCATCTAATTAACAGTAATAGAAACACGGTCTTCAAAACCTAAAATAAAATAAATTTCTATAACATTATCTACGTAGTATAAATGTACAACGTTCTAGAAATTCTATATCATCTGGAATAAATCGTTATATTTCAGCCAGCTACGGTAAAAAATAATTTACGAGTAAAAAATTTAGAGAAATAAAAGACTTGTAAATTATTTTTTTCCGTAGCAGGCTGAAATATAGCGATTTATTGCAGATGATATAGAATTTGTAGAACGTTGTACATTTATACTACGTAGATTATGTTATAGAAATTTATTTTATTTTAGGTTTTGAAGACCGTGTTTCTATTACTGTTAATTAGATGATCAGTTCAGTGTACTGATTATAATTGACCAGAGTGTACAAATACTATTTCTTATGTGTTTTCACAGTTTTCTACCTC